GCGATTATTAAAAAATAAACGCTATATCCAACTTCTGTTCTTCTGCTTTATTGACCACGGCTTGTTGACTGAAGATTATGACAGAGTTGTAACATCTATTTAGTCCTTCTACACTCCGTTGAAGTTTTGGCCCGGATTATTATTAAGTAATACCATTGGATTTAATCATTCTCATTATGCCGTTGTCACCACCACGTGCAGAGGGACATTTGTTAATCAAGTGAACTCATTTGTGGTTGTTATCTCAGAGAGTAGTTTACATGTAACATTCATTTCATAACATCTGTAATCATTTTGTTATTTAACATACGATTTGCATTGTAACTGTAATCTATTACCGTTTTGCTTTACTCATTGATAAGCCCTCCAGTTTATGGTGTTGATTCCATTTAATACATCATTGGTAACAGGATCCACCACAAGCTTTCTAACCTCATGGCATACACGATCTTATTCGTATATGAGTCCGGTGATAATGGTTTTCGTTCTTAAATCTAGCTAGTTTGTTATATAGTGTAACCACCATTTACTGCCATCTTATGAAACAAAACAAAGCCAAAATTTCACACAACTAAATAAATACATAATAGTTGCAACTTAGTGGATTGATATGATGAGAACTGCAGATCCTACGGTTGACACAATAATCAACATAAGATTTGGTTGCAGTAGATTTATTACACCAAATTTACATGTGTTCATGAACTTGACTTTAGGAAGATTGAATTCTCCTAGAATGAGGTTATTAGTGTATCTGGGACCAATAGGGCAGAATGATCCCTTCACCATGCAAGTATCGTACTCGGTGTCTGAAGTAGGCTTCCTGCATATAATTTCAATTAGACATCTCGAGGTGTTAGGCGATCTCACTGAGTACCATACAGATACATCAAGATTGACATACCCTTTAGTATGACTTAATGTGCTACTTAGCAAGATCGCAGGTACGAGGCTGTTTGCCTGCTTTACTGTAATCGGTTCTGGGTGGCCAATTTCTTTGCAGAGCACAAGTGCTTTGAGAGCTATTGATATATCTGAGGAAATTTGTAGAGTATGTTCCAACTTGACGTTTTTTAATGCTTGTAATAATGCCGTATTTTTTCGATTCGTTGGAAAACAAGGTCCAGGTGCTGAAGATGCGCCTTTTAAGGTGGCTGCAAAATTGTGGGCGTTCTACTACGAGAAACGGTTTTCGTATTCCGTCGCCGATAATCACGAGTTGAACTCTCATCGTTACCGTCTTTTTTAGGGACCGTTTGCAAATTAGGTGCCCGTGGGCCGTTCAATGACTGAATAACTTCTAAGTCTGTCACGTGCTCGAATCCTGACCAACCTTATTTTTTCATGGAGATGGTCGGCGCGCTTTTGAAAGAACAAATGGTCCTGTAGTCGCGATGATGCGTGTAAGATTGTTGGTTACGTTTGGTACACCTCGGGATACTTATCAAGTGTCCGTTCATGGAATCTATCGATTACATGCTTAACGATGACCGGAGATAACCTAAAACTAGAAGATAAAATTTCACAAACAGATAATTTGCTATGTCCGTACACTAACTTTCGTTCGCATGTGTCGATGAGCAGATTATAGTGTTGTAGCAGGTCTGTGATGTGCGCTACTTATATGCACATAAGTAGAATACGATGATAATCCGGAATAGAATGTATTTCTATAAAAGATCGAGAAGGAAAGAACGGGAACGGAAGGCAATCGGTATGGAAATGTGGGAACAATGAAAGCTGAGACGATGGACTGATATTTGAAAAAAAGGAACAGTCAAGTTTGAGGCAATTGATTTATATTTTGCAAATTAGGTATTTACTGTATGGTTTTCAGATTTGAGTGAGATGTTTTGTATTTTTGTGTTCAAGTACATTCGATTTTCCCTACTCGTGTTCTCGTTCACTATAGGTCTATACCAACAATTTGCATGGAAAATCTGCAATAACGAAATTTCAGTGAATTTGTTTGCGTGAACCCACGTACGGATAAACATATCGCATACCATATGTGGTAATCTGTTTTCCACTTGCCATCTGTAAGTTGAACACCGTATCCTATTGACGGTGGTTAGGATTTCCGGGAAGAACTCTAACGTTTGTGCAGGTTTCAACGAGAGAGACCTTTTATCATCAACATAGTGATATGTAACAGAAGGTTATGTCCACCGGTTGCGGTTGTCATTTCTCGAAAGGTTTATTGTGTCGGAACCTTTGGAAACTAGGAGGCTCCAGGGTTTCTTGCAATTTCTAGAAAACTGGCCATATTTATTTCGATACTACAATTAATCAGGATTATCTGCTTCTCGCTGCTTTTAGATAGACCTTTTTTCGTGGAAAGCTGTCTTTGAGGAGTTTGGGAGCGTCTACGATTACTATGAATATTAAGATATTGAGCGACGATATGTCAGAGTTCTGTAACGTCGTTTCGTGTTGTTTGTGGCTTTTCGTTGGCAAGAAAAACCTCGGCACTGGGGGTCCTGTTGATTCCCAGAATTCTATCAGCAGGTGCAGCCAGTTCGTCTACGGCGTTATTTTGAAATGAGACGAGAACCACCAGCACCTGTCGGGGAATTTTATTGACCAATGACATCTCTCATATGTGGCAACATTCCTGTTGCAATGCCATATTAGGGAAAAGCTAGTTTGACTTTTGATGGCAGTTTAGGTTTCCACATATAAGAATAGCCGTTTTTAATATGTCTGTGCCTATTAAAATTAATGAGGTCAGGAACAAATACCGCTACACGTTCTTATGTGTAGCACCAAAATATCAAAGAAAAGGTGAGGTGTTGAAAAAGCCCGATAATACACTTCTGTTGATGACTGAACTATGATAGTCACTTCTATACTAACACATTCTAGAGGTCGGATGTTAAACACAATTATCTCATAAACAGTAACTCAAGGTACTGAATTCATTCCAAGTTACGTCAAACTTCATTCTTGTAAAATTTTAGTTACGTTACATATTGACAGTTCTGTAGGTTTGGATCGTATACGAATGAACCAATAAAGGTCAGATAAAGTCTGGCAGACTATTCAAACCGTCATGGTGTAACGGGGTTTAAATCATCATGTATGGTGTTGTTAATAGATTCTGTTGTTCTTTCTATTACAGGGCAACCAAGAATAAATGCTTTAGAAGAAGAAGAAGAGCAAGCTCTGCGTGCACTGAACCTACAGTATGACTCATAAGACTGTTTCGTAAACAAGATCTCCCTTCTGTACATAACCCGCAAATTTTCAAATAAACGACTGGTAGTTCCCATTCCGTGTTCTCTCTCTGGTGTGAATTGCTCGGTTAACATTGTGTGTGTTGTGGTTTTAGGTCTTCCCGACTTTCAGTGACTGCTGACTACACGTGTTCCAACTGGTGATGGAGGTGTCTACGTAAAAACGCGACGGTAATTTAGATAAACCCCCTGTGATTCCAATCAAGGCTGCACCTGGTTCGATCCCTCGCCAACCACCACTGCTCGAAACGTCGTCAACTTACTTTGTCTGGAAATTTAAAATAACAACGTATCTAAAGAGAGTTCCAATGGCTGAACATTCAACTACCTCATATCCTATATTGGCTACAGCCAATGATTTCGTGGCATGTAACACGCATCCACAAAACTGGCGACTCTTAGATGACTGTCTTACCGTGCCCGTGGACACACAACAGGTGACGATCCAGTTCTTATCACGTCACCAAAAGCGAGCGAGAGCCTAATCGCCTACCTTAATTCCTTGCAGCAAATCGTGGTACAGGCGCTCCCTGGTTTAGATGCCATGGGAGAAGAGGAATTAGTACGTTCACGTTTTGTCAAAGGGCTGGTGCCGGGTCCGGTAAGAGAATATATTCTTCGAAGCCCACCAATTGATACACCTGAATTAAAAAGAAAAACACTACGTTTCTTGGCTGAAGACAAACTAGAGAATTTATCAGATGCACAACCACCATCAGTGATGACTGTGGAAGGAGTCACAGAATCTAGTACTCCGGACAGTTTCCAAGGGAAAATGGCTGTTGTCGACTTTTCCAGCGGTGGTGCCAGCCGCCGGCACCCAAGTTCGAGATGGAATAGATGACCAGCATGGACCAACTACAATGGGCGTCAAGCCGAATGTATATATTGCAAGAGGCTTGTCAGGGATGCCAGGAGATGTGGTCATAACCAGTCCCGTAAACCAGGTAAGCAGCATCTTTGCTAGTTATCTTCTTATGTTAATCATTTCGATCCGATTACGTAAAGCGGTAGAGTGCAAAACGTTGAGATAGAACTACCACTAGATACAGGACCTTCGGTATCTGTTATCAAGGAAGAGCACTTGAAGAAAATTAACCATAAGACTCAACAAAATCGATGTATTTCTACGTTATTCATAGCAATTGGTGATCCGCTGAAAGTGTGTTCTAAGGTGTGGTTTGACATCACGATGGAAAAACATCAGTTTCGTCATGAATTCTTAGTTTGTCCAACATTAACTTGGGACATAATTCTCGGCGTTGATTTCATGTTAAAATACCAAGTCTCTACATTCATGGACAGATCGGAAGCATAAATTGGTGAGGCTACAGTACACCTGCACCACTATGAAATGACAACTAAATCTAAAGCCGATGTGGGGATTATAGAACTAGTGCGTCAGATACATAGCAATCAAGTAATCTCAGAGAACGATCGTTGCGCAACGACTGCTGTGCTCCAGCAGTTTAGTTCTGTGTTTGAAGAAGGTATTTCCGGAGATAGGAAAACTACATTACAATACCACATCTCCACAGGTGACCATATGCCACTTCGACAACCACATCTCAAGAGACCAGTGTACTACCAAATGCAACTAGATGCATTGATAAAACATAGGTTGGACAATAATATCATAGTTCTGTAGTAAAATACTCTCATCAAGAGAACGCAATTGGTGTAATGAAAAAATTATTATTATTATGACTAATTATACCAGGGGTTGTTTTACCGTACTTGTTTGTTTAACTGTACCAAAATGTACATGTTCTTCCTTTGTGGCCTTGCGCGAATTCGGTTAAGCTCAGCAACCGCACTTTTAACCTGGCACGATCTCGGTATTCTTTCGATACCACGAGGTCGCCAACAAATACAACTCGACTACAGCCATCAACTGCCTTCTGATATTTGACTTACGGGGATATTATCGGTTAACTGGCACGTAGTCATCCTGTAGTGCTGATCATAGTCAACCGCGACTCGAGACCACACTACAACTGGTGAACCAAATCTAAGAATAAGTCTCAACCTCTGGTCAAATCTTCCAAAGAAGCCGATTGCGGTGAGTCTATTACTTATCCATCCACGTCTGTTGCACATTTTCATATTAACACTTCAATATATAATATTCTGTTAACAACTTGAGATAACGATAAGAATAGTATTAATATAATAGACTCCGATGTACGCGTACTAAATCTTATGCATCTTTCATCCGCATGACGATATGTTCCACGCTTTACTCGAGAAATTTCCCCAAATATCTATTCTCACTGACCCGGCTGCTTGGTACGGAACGCATACTCACTAGCGCTTATCACCCAGCATCAAATGCCTTAGTTGAACGATTTAGTCGCCAACTTGAAAGTGCTCTTCGGACACACGTAAACAACAGTTGGTACGAAACCTTACCGCTCGTCATCTTAGGTATCAGAACGAGCTTAAAGGCAGATATTCAGTGTTCCGCCATTGAACTTGTATACAGCACGACATTGCGTCTGCCTGGGGAATTTTTCACAACACGGAGCAGTAACGATTTCAGTGAATCAGACTACGTCCGTTAACTGTCTGTATTTATGCGCACACCGGAGGCAGTGCTCGCGAACACTCGAATACAACATCGACAGGTCGCTCTCCCTCGAGTAAATACAGTACGCAAACCTCTGCAACAGCCTTACGAAGGACCTTTTCGCGTGATTTCTCGTCACGAAAAGACCTTCAAGGTCGATCGACATGGCCGCGTCAAGATCGTCAGCATTGACAGTCTCAAACCAGCACATATCGATGACAGTGCCCTATATGAGTTTCAAGTGATGCCTTTTGGTTTAACAAGTGCTCTAGCTACTTTCCAAAGACTAATGCAAATAGTTTAACAAGATATAGTACCCCACAAATGCTTGACATATATTGACAACATTATTGTGTATGGTAGCACACCCGAACAACGCAATACTAATCTAAAAGCAGTTGAGCGCCTTAAACAACACAATTTAAAAGTAAAACCGTTCAAATGTCGCCTGCTGCAGAAAGAAGTAATCTTCCTGGGACATCGTATCACTGCAGATGGGGTAGGCACAGATAAAGAAAAGACACGTGCGATTTTTAATTGGCCGCAACCAAAATCACCCGAAGACGTTCGTAGCTTCCTTGTGCTAGCTTCTTATTACAGACGCTTTGTTCGCGACTTCACATCACTAGCAACACCTTTGCATTGTTTAACACATAGGACGAACATTTTTATGAACCAGCGAGTGTCAACAGGCGGACACCAAAAAGACATGTATGATCGTCAGGTGCGAGGACCGATGTATACAGTCGGAGATCGCGTCTGGCTACGCCGCCCCATGACATCGTTAGGGAGTTGCAGTAAATTCCACCAGCTCTGGCAAGGTCCTTTCGAAATTGTCCTCATCCGATCCCCCACTACGTTTGTATTGCGTAACATACAACGACCTAAGGACGACCTGATAACGGTACATTACAACCAAATAAAACCGGACCAAATGACAATGCCTTTCGATGCTCAGTTCTCCGGCCACTAGATTTTATGAAGTACCATCAGAAGGAGGAACAGCATACCCATGCCCAAGACCAGGCACTAAGGACAGTGCCTCATTAGGAAGGGGGCGATGTAACGGGGTTTAAATCATCATGTATGGTGTTGTTAATAGATTCTGTTGTTCTTTCTATTACAGGGCAACCAAGAATAAATGCTTTAGAAGAAGAAGAAGAGCAAGCTCTGCGTGCACTGAACCTACAGGATGACTCATAAGACTGTTTTGTAAACTAGATCTCCCTTCTGTACATAACCCGCGAATTTTCAAATAAACGACTGGTAGTTCTTATTCCGTGTTCTCTCTCTGGTGTGAATTGCTCGGTTAACATTGTGTGTGTTGTGGTTTTAGGTCTTCCCGACTTTCAGTGACCGCTGATTACATGTGTTACAATGGTTATCGACCAGTTTGACAGGTTGACCTTGAAGGGATCGGTAACCTACAACATTGGATGATACCTCGACCAATCACATTGTTCATAGTCCCTATGTTTGCGTTGTGATGTGGTATGTTTCATTTATCAAACCGTTTAATGCTGTTGATATACTACATGATATACAAACGTATACTGCTGTATATCTGAAAAAAGAAATGTTGCTAATAGCATAACTATCTGTTTTTAAATGCTGAATCTAGTTGTTTTGGCCGTAATTGCATACTCTAGCCCTCCTGAGGGCGTATATTTAGGCGGGAAGTAGACGATTCGGCACACATTTAGGCGAAAAGTAGACAATTTAGAGTACATATAGGCGAAAAGTAGATAATTCAGCAACATAGATAGGAAAATCCGTGTTATTTCCCCCGGAAAGGCAAAAAAAGCAGACATTTTGGCGCGTTTCCTCTTTATTTTCTAACGCATTTTTCCCTTTATTTCTCCTTTATTGGTTGTTCGGGTCATCGAGTTCTTTGAAATAAACATTCAGATTTGTGCAGTAAAGACAGAAGGCCTATGGCCTATGTTATTCCTTTTCTAGTATGTTTCTGTGTCTCTTAGATGAGTCGTTTGGAGATGCAGACACCACTGCTTGGGGTAACAGATCCCAAGAATTGATGACTCGGTGTGAAAACCTGAATGCCACTGGTATTTTGTTCGTTCTTGGCTTTTCTATTCGTTTATTATGTCCTTTGAGTTGTCTCGAACTAGTGAGAAGAATATGACTGCATGGTCACCCCTTCCTAAAGGTGGGGGTAAAGTTAATTGACTGACATCGTCACCATGTGTGAACGTTAGATCCAAGAGACGGAAAGCTTCATAAGTTAGATCCAGTAGATCTCTAATGTGTTGAGATTAAGCTAGGGCAATTGTGGTTTTGAACAATTTGCCACCATATTATGTTGTTGATGACCCTACTTCTAAGTTTCCCCAGTTACACTGTTTTGACCAAATCATCAACAAACTATTGCTTGCTTTAGGATTTGTAAGAACAAACATCATATATGTGTCATTTGTTCTGCAGTCCTTTAGTGAGAAATGGACACGGACCTGTTTCACCCTTTCTTAATAACCATAATATTACACCAAAACGTGTAACCATCAGATGATGTTCACTTACGTCTACAGCATTCCCAGTCCCATACGAAATTTACGCTTTATCGTTTTACCTCTAATTGGATCATGTTTACCTACAACTTTTCACCGTTTTGTGAATCGTTTTTCAGCTTTATACATTTTGAATAAAATGCAATCAATGAGACGACTGAAGTTCTTTTTGCCATATTGTATCATAACATTGGGGAGTGCGTTTCCTTTTGGATATCACAGTGGAGTGATAAATGCACCTGCTGACGTAAGTTACTGTTTAATAATAAACAGAAAACTTTATTTAGCTGATCAAAAGCTTCATAAATACTACTCTGGTTGCTAGGTCAGTCAGATGTGATGGACGTTGCGTCGACTTGATATGGTCACTCTGTGTTACGTCATTCCTCCTTGGGGGATTTTTTGGAGGCTTGATTGGTGGTGTTTTGGCTAACAAGTTGGGCCGGTAAGTTGTTTTTATTCTACAGTTTACTGTCAGGAAAAAATCCCTATTTCTACTTTCTATCCCAACTGTAATTGGGTCACTCCTGATGATGTTTTCGAAAATGGCACAATCTTTCGAAATGATTATTTTTGGGAGATTTACAATTGGGATAGCTTGTGGTAATTCTATAATTTATGAAATATTTCAAAAGGCGCTCATACAGTCGTTGGGCCTATGTTTTTGTCAGAAATAGCTCCTGTCAATTTCCGTGGAGCTGCGGGAACTTTCAATCAGTTTGTGCTTGTTTTCGCTATATTGCTGTCACAAGTGCTTGGTCTGCCTGAAGTGATGGGGACAACTGAATTATGGCCATATCTACTTGGTATGATAATAAAAATGCTCATATTTTGAAAGCTTTATGTACCGTTTCCAGTGTCATACATATTTTACTTCTGTCCATTTGTCCTGAAAGTCCTACTTACTTATACATTATTAAAGGTGATCGTCGAAGGTCAGAAAATGGTAATGTACTATTTATTTTATCATTCACTTTACATTTATAGCATTGGTTTACCTTCGAGGGCAAGATTGCGATGTACATGCTGAATTAGAACTACTAAAAATGGAGACACAACAGTCATCTACACACAAATCAAATTTTTGCGACCTACTACGTATTCCATACTTGCGATGGGGACTGATTGTAGCTTTGGTACTACATATTGGCCAACAGTTTTCCGGTATAAATGGAGTAAGTAACTTTGAATTCCAGGTGTCACTTTTTCTAACAACCCTTATATTTCCTGAATTATTTGATGTCATGTCCACTAGCTTTATAACAAGAAATTAATTCAAAGATTATCCGTTATTGCTTTTTGATAAGTTTTTTTCTTTAATTTTACAAACCTCTTTCACTTCTGTGCAATTGTGAAAGGTACCTAGGACCGTTATTTTAGTCAAAGGATCTCCGATTCAGTTTTCATTCATTTATTTGTAGCTAACTAAGTCAAAAAACAAGTGTATAATTAACTTAACTCCGTCTAAGTGGTAGCGTTCACAAGTCAAAAGCAGATTATTTGCCTTAAGCATTAGGTGCTTTGTGCTAGAATGTCTTTGTGTTTTCAGAAAAGGTAGGTGATCTCTCAAAGTTTGGGGATTCTTCCTTCACAGCCCTGGTTAATCAAATCTTGATTTTAAAGTGTAAATATATGTGTTTATCACACTAATGTGGTTTTTAAGTTGTTTTCAACTTTGTTTCTATAATTTTCTAATTCCAGCCATGGTTGTGTGTGTAAACTGATTTTTCTAACCTTTTATTTAGCCTACGATTATCTCCAATTTTTCACTATCTCGATTTCTTCTATTCGTTAATTTTTTCGTCCTCACTAAGTTGTTCCTTTGTACTTCACTTTCTTTATAATATGAATGTTCGAAATTTTTGAAATTCTCACACTTTTCTGTCACTTGTACCTCTTAAATTACTATGTAGTTAGGTCGAAGCTCATGAAATTCATTGCTCAGTAATTGAGAGTCAAGCTACTAAATTACCTAGCTGAAACTTCAAACCTGCAAAATTTCAAGCTTAGAAATATTGGTTAGTCAGTCAGCTACAACGTAAGACCAGGCACATATATGCATCGGTCCAAGTTGCCATACCTCATTAACACAAGATGGACACCGGATTCATAAAAGTAGTTAATTCAGAGGTGGTAATATATAAAAGAAAGATTGCAATCAGGATCAGAGTACAGGAAGAAAGAATTAGTTCGTAGAAAGAATGACATGAAGCAGACATTTTGGCGCGTTTCCTCTTTATTTTCTAGCGCATTTTTGCCCTTATTTCTCCCTTATTAGTTGTTCGGGTCATCGAGTTCTTTGAGGGAAGGCAGAGAGTTTATACACCGACGCCATTGTGATCGACTCTGAGCCATGTCACCAAGAGTCTCCAACCATCGGTTACAAAAGTCACGCGGACCCCAACCAAGTAGTCTGCATCTACCAACAAGGCTCAGACTAGAGGTTAGTGTCTTCAAGCACTGATGCCACGTTTTGGTTTGGCCGCCCCTAACTTTCTCCGAACCATCTCTAACACCCGTTAGCATTGCACGACGTGGTAATCGGTGTTCAGGCATACGTAACACGTGGCCCAACCATTTCAGTCGATGAAGATTAACAACCTCATCAAGTGATTTACCATCATTACCTAATACCCTGCGTCTAACCTCACTATTACTTACCCGGTGATCGCAGCAGATGCCAACAATATTTCTAAGGCATCTGTGGTCAAATACTAGTAGCTTACGGGTGTTTTCTACTCTTGATGGCCATGTTTCGCTGCCGTAAAGTAAGACAGAACGGACTGCCGCGCAGTATACTCGTCCTTTTATTGATAGACGGATATCTCGCCTTCGCCACAGGTGACGTAAGTTGGCAAAAGCCAAGCGAGCTTTTCGAATCCCTGTACAGATTTCGTCAGACACCAACCCATTAGGACTGATCAAACTTCCAAGATAAGTGAAGTTGTCAAAGCGTCCGACTACTACGCAGACCAGTCCTGAAGCAGCAGCTTGCATTTAGAGGGAGAGAAGCGCATTCCAAACTTTCTGGCATTGTTGCTTAGTGCTACCAAAAGACTCTGCATTTTATCAGCCTCTTCATCAAACAGGATTACGCCATCTGCGTATTCTAAGTCGATAAGTGGACCTCCTGGATGGAGATCAATACCCGAGACTTCAGTCGACGAGAATGTTATTTCCATCAATAGGTCTATGATGAAGTTAAACAAAAATAGAGAAAGTGGACATACTTGACGGACACCACTTGAGGTTGCAAAAGCAGATGACAGTTTGCCATAAGCTCTTACTCGACTGGTAGTGTTCGAGTAAAGAGCCTTCACAAGGTTTATGTACTTCTGAGGTACGCCTTTCGATGACAGACACTGCCACAGAATCTCGCGGTCTACATAGTCAAATGCTGCTTTTAAGTCAAGAAAGACCACCATTGTCGGACGTCAATAAGTATGCCTGTGTTCTAGAACCTGACGAATGGTGAATATGTGGTCGATGCAGCCACGACTTGGTATGAAGCCAGCTTGATTCTCTCGTGTTTGCAGTTCACGAGTCTTAGTTAGGCGTCCGATAATTATCGAAGCTAGTATTTTAGATACTATATTAATTAAACTAATCCCTCTATGGTTGTCACAGGATGATTTTAACCCTCTCTTATATATTGGGACGATAAGTGATTGTGACCAGTCAGATGGGATAACGTCTAACTCCCAGATCTTAGCTAAAATATTAGTCAACCTAATAGCTAAAATTGGACCACCACCCTTAAAGACCTCTGGAGACAATCCATCTGGACCAGCTGCCCTTTTTCGTTTCAGATTATCAATAGCCTTTTGAACTTCTGCTAGAGCTGGGGGACCTACTTCAATCTTCCATTCACACTGTGTGAGAATAGAGAGTAGTTGTAAAGTAGCTGAATGCCAGCTGAACTGTTCTCTAAAATGTTCCGCCAATTGTTCTAAACGTCTGGACTGGGAGCAGATGAGAGTGTCGTCTTTTTCCGAAATAGTCTGACTTACACTTGACTTATTAACTCCAGTTTCGTTTATTAGTCTGTAGAGCTGTCTTGTGTTCCCTGTAGCCGCCGCCTTTTCCATCTCTTTTGCTTTCGTTGCCCACCACTGCTCACGGTCGTTCCTTAGACTTTTGGTTAACCTAGATCTGATTTGTTTTCGCTCTTCATCGTGTTCAGAGCCTGATGGGATGAGTTTACGAGAATCCATCAGTGAAATAGACTTGGAAGAAATCCATTGGTGTTTTGTAACCCTGTGGTTCAAATCACTAATAGATGCCACTGCTGTTTCCACAGCTCCTTGTTTGTCTTTCCAAGCAACATCTGGGTCAACCTCGTTTTCAGAACTACTCAAGGGTGACCTCAGTTGTTCCTGGAACAGACTTTTGGTTTTCTCGCTACTCAATTCTGTTCTAATGGGTCTTTTTAGTGTGACTTTTTTTCGTCCAGTGAGGTGCAAGTAGATGCGTGGCCGGAGTCCAAGCTGGTACTCCAGAATGAGCGACAGTCTTCTACCGACCCTCTCCAACGATGACTGATGGCAATATGGTCTATTTGAGTCCATCGTTGGTTTGGTGTACGGGGTTGCCATGTTAGACGATGTCACTCCTTATGCTTAAAATTTGTGTTTGCTGAAAATAAACGATTGTCTGAGCATAGTTGCAGCAGACGATCATCATTATCTGTTCGTTGTGCCGGAATACTAAAATACCCACCTAAATGCCTTTCTATTTGGTTTAAACTACCTATCTGGGCATTAAAGTCACCTTCTACGAGTACTATGTCTGAACGTTTAGTTTTCTGAAGAAGTTCAGATAGCTTTCTGTAAAATTCATCTGAGCTGCAGTCGGTGGGAGCGTAGACAGAAACGACAAAAAGGCAACGACGTGTGTCCTTATCCTTCCGAGTTCTTACGGAGCCGTTTAGCCGAACAGCACATAGACGACTGTTGACGGGGGTCCACTCTAACAGTGTTTGTTCCGCCCTCATGCTTAGTGCTATGCCTACACCTGCCAGTCCACGAGAACAGGCCGTCGGGTCACCAGATACACGTAGGGTGTATCTCGTTGGCTCTCCGTTTTGCCGAGGTGAGGTCAAGTGAATGACCACACTGGGATCCTGTATGCGTGTTTCGGAGACACAGCATACATCAATGGTACGAGATTCTAGGGTTTCAACCAAGGAAGCCTGCTGACCGATTTGACATGGAGTGCGTACGTTGAAAACTCCAATGTGTAGTTTTTAACGAGGTTTCAGTAGACCTGGGACAGTGTTTTGAGCACTAGAATCGTTGGCCATGGTAACACTTGAGGGGGAAGCCGAAAAAGGAAGTTTAGAGGTGAAAGTCGATGTAGGGGGACAATAAGAATTTAAGAGGGAGGTCGATTATGAATACAGTGGTATTGAGTGCTGTTAGAGGTATGAGGGCGGTCATCACTTCCTGGTTGCCCGCACCATGGAAGGGTTCTTCTGGAGGTACCTAAAAAGGAAATTGGATTAGAGGTGGTCTTAGTGACCTGAGAGCGTGACCGCAGGGCCCAAGGGACAACTGCTTGAGGTCGGTCACATACGACCTTTTTATGGTTATTTTTTGTGTTAGCTCCGTACTTCTTAAGATCTTACCACCGGAGACGGATATCTGTGGGATAAGGCGAGGTGTGCATTTTTAGGGTCGACCTTTTCTAACCCCGCCCCTCCTTGTGAGAAGGCAGCATCGTTGTCATGCTGGTTGTCTGAAGGAAACACCTTACTGCTGTCATACCTCTGTACAGTCAGCAGTACGACTTCGCCTTCGAACCTTGTGTTTGTTGCTTTTAGTCTTACCGCTCTTCAACCGACCTGTCTGACATGGTAGGACCTTGAGGAACAGTTGTTCTAGCCAGTATAGCTCGGTTGCTTCATCACGATAAGCAAGCCCGACCACCACGTCAAGGTGGCAACACCGGTCGGGCAGAAATATTGGTAACGTGGACACATTCCCACCGCAATATATATTTAGTCTTCTAATGTGCCTCACTTATTCTCAGCGCTTAAGAATAAACAAAACGAGGTACCGTATGCTGATACATATATGAATAATAGTTTTGGAAGCTTAAGGTAGTCGAGAATTATTGAATTTGCGTCCCGAGAGTTTAGTCATTCATTTCTCAGAGATTGAGTTGTAAGCCTTACCAATACATTGATTTGTAGGTTGTATAATAAAACTTTAAAAAGTTCACGTGATCTGCAATCTAGTAGCGGTAAAGTTTCATATAATTATCACGTATGCATTCAGAATGGCAACTAGAAAAACTACTCATGCTTTAAAGCTCATTCTCGCAAATCATGCTCAAAACTATTCGTTTATTTTTATTTTGCACTGCGTCACTTGTCTTTTCCTATTTTTCCATTTTGCGTATTCCATCTGGATGCTTGAATGCGCAGGTCAAGGGTCTATGTACAAGGGAGTGTCGTTCAGGTGGCTAGTGCGAACTTGTTGGTCACAAGCCAGATAACGATGACCGTCTATTGCAACTTTGCGCAGACTACAACCCGTTCCTGGCTAACAATCACTGCCGATGTGCTGCTTAGCGTCCTCCCTCTTCATCTCACTCTGAAATCATATTTTTCACTCTTTCAACTCATTCGAATCACTGGCAGCAAGAAGTCTTGTATGAGTTAAACATTGTGTTAATCTCATGAGATGTCAATCAATGATGTCTACCGACGTCTTGGACGATGGGCAGAGTTTTTCGAGGAGCATTTCAGCTTGTCTGCTGCCCCGGTGACATCGATCAAACTGTCCTGCTCTTCCTGGTCTTTGACGACTGATCCACCTGACGAGGCATAAGTACGCATGGAATTTCAAATCTTGGAGCGCCACAAATCACTAGACCCAGATGACTTATCTTCGGTCCTTCTTAAAGATGGTGGCTACCTGGTTAAGGAAATGGCTTAGTTGTTTACAGACGTCTGGTGGTTAGATAGTGTTCCAACATCGTTGAATGAGCCGATAGTTGTCCGTATCCTTAAAAAAAGGTTCATGTTACCTATGCAACAACTATCAAGGAATAACTCTGTCTCCGGTTGCATCTGAACTATTGGCTTCAGTCATGTTTTGCAGATTGCTCAAAACCTGGAACCGATTGACTCGCGAGGAGGAGGCTGGTTTTCGTTCTAATCGGGGATTTATTCGTCATCCTCAACCTCCGTCAAATGTTAGAACCCCTCCATGCTTATTGCATACCAATAATCAATATGTTTCTTGACGTCAGGGTCACCCTCGATTTGCTGAACAGGACTGTTTTCTGGGATCTTCCGTTGAAGGGTGTGTCTGAGAAGTTTATGAACATCGTAAAGGCCTTGTGTACAAACACTTCAGGTAGAGTGAGAGCATACAGCCACCTCTCTCTATTGTTTCATTCAGCTAATGGAATTAGGCAGGATTGCTCAGTCTCACCTTTCCTCCCTTATTTTACCATTGATGACGTTCTGGAAACAGTTCTGATAGATGTAGGTAATGGTGGTGTAGATCTTTTACCCGGAGAAAGACTTTTCGGTATGAATTATGCGGATGATATTGTCTTACTGTGCTATAATACCCAAGCCAATCAATCTGTACTTAATCAGTTGACAATCAGGATCCGTAGGTATGGCTGTGCTTTACACCTTCCAAGTGCAAAGTACTTTTACAAGACTGGCAGGACCCTGAATCTTCACTCACTCTTGGTACTGCGCAGATAAAAGTAGTCGAGAGATTTGTGTATTTGGGTAGCTGTGTAAGTGCTGGTGGTGACATGAGTGATAAGATCAATTCATGTTTAATCAAAACCAGAGCGGCTTATGCAATTCTGGGCCATCTCTTGCGCCTTCATGTTGTTAGTCTGGCCGTAAAAGGTCGGATCTATAATTCGTCGGTAAGAGCAGTTTCACTCTATGCTTCTGAAACCTGGCCTCTTCGAAAGTTGAGTATGTTAAGCAACTCTCTGTGTTTGATCATCTTTGTTTCCGACAGATTGCCGACATTCAGTGACAACACTAAGTGCAGAGGTTTGGCAATGTGTGTTAGGGCATAGTAACGATAATTCAATTGGTGTCACCATTTTAGAACACCGACTTTGGTGGCTTGGACATGTACTACGAATGTCCTCCCAGCGAATTCCACATCGTGCATTATTTGCCGACGCTGGGACTGGTTGGAAAAAGCGGAGAGATGGTCAATGCATGACATGGTGCCGTAGTATGCAAGAGAGCTGTGCATGACTAGCTTCTGTTAACCCTTCATTACTCCGTGGTTGGGGTCCTAGAGATTATACATCACCTTGTTTTCAGACGTTATCAGACATGGTTCAGAATAGAAGCTAACAGAGATCCTTCTGTAACTTTCCTCATAACAGTGAGAGTAACTTTAACTGAAAGAATCCTTTCTGGTTGTATTTTTGTTAACTGAAAAGCTTCCCGCGTTATTATTATTACCTCACTCTCATAAACTATTTTCTATTCACTGTTGTTGTTTTTTATTGTACTCACTTTCCTTTCTCATTATCTTCACAACCTCACTTTTATTGTTGGTGTATATATATTTTGGTTCCACCTTATATTGATGTTTATGTACTTAAATAATAATGGTAATTGGTGTTTTATAGCATAGTGGTATAGTTTAAATTCTTAATCTTTAGTTGAAAACAAATCCAACTGCTTTCAGTCAGTAAAAATCTGCTAGTTGTCTAATCTTTAAGTATGTTGAAAGAGAGCTGAGGGTAGCCAAACCGAAACGTCACGTTAGTACATGAAGGCTTTAACTGTTGGACAAGGTCATGCAAGGAGATTCAGACTCTCAAGCTGAAATCCTCATGAGATAAATGGCTGGAACTCGTTTTGGGTGCTACAGATACACTAATTATTTGTCTTTTTCCAGATCTTGAGTTTCAATATTATATCATACTTTTTATTCCTCAATTTTATTTATTTCCCGAGCATGTTCTCCTTGATTGTTTTCACAGTTTTAAACATGTTTATTATTTGGATTCATTGTTATTCTCATCTCGGTCTGCTGAAATGGTATAGCAGCTTAGGCTAATGAACCTTTGTACCAGGTCCTACGTTGTTTTAACTGATCGAATTTCAAATTATACCAACTGTTATCCCTGAATATTTCTGTTCAACGAAGAAATGAGTGAATAGATTTTATAGTGTATCACATATAAAATACTCATTCCGTACATTTATTTGACTAATCGTTTAATAAAAATGATATATTTTTCTTCCTGTCACTAAGGTCCAGACATATAACTCAGTTAGTCAACTATACATGTTAGTTTTAGAACTTCGAACTTACGGTAATCTATAAATTGTATTCTTTTATTAATCGATGGATAAATGCTATTCAGTTAAACTTATTCGAAATCTAATTATTAGTCAGTGTAAGTAAAACCCATAAAAATTAATGTATTGGGATGCAGTTTCCGATCTATTTTTTGTCGTATAATGAATTTCCATCTATCCTCTTGGCTTTTTTCTTTTCATCGAGTTATATCATGTATGTTTTATTCACGGTACTGCTGAAATGTTGTTATTTTTTACTTCAGATTCTTTACTACTTCGTAAGTTTATTCATATCGAATGGGTTAACAAAACAGGTTGCAAGCTATGCGAATCTTGGTACTGGATTTACTATTCTAATTGGTTCATTGGCATCCATTTTTATTATCGATCGGAAAGGCAGACGTCCTTTATTAATGTTTGGAATATCAGCTTGCCTTTTTAGCCTCTTACTATTCACTTTAACTTTGATTATTAAACGAGTGACTGAAATCAATAAACTCACAATTCTATCTATTGTATTGACATATACGTTTTTATTTGGATTTTCAGTGAGTTTAGGTAAGTCAGTAAGCAAGTATTTTGATTTCTGCATAGTTTTCCCATGTATGGTGACAGTATTACTGTGTATACTACTGTTGAAGAAGCAACTTTCCAATTATTGTATTATTTAACGTTGAGGCAGATAGTATCTATTTTGAAATTGAGTGTACATTTTGCGTATTTGCATAATTTCTCTTTATTTTATTCATCAGTTACTAGTAAAGCAAATGCATTTTAAGTGAGTTGAGGCAATCGGTAGGAAACTATAGCCTAATTTTTGCGTTAGTTGGCACTCGTCAGCAAGGCGTAACTGTAATCTTGAGGGTACTGATGCCTCCTATGGAGTTCAAACCTCCGTCACTCAGCACCACATCTTAATATGTTATTACTGAAATGTTCGAGTGGCGACCGACACTTAAAAGGACTACAGTATTTTCAGTTATTCTTCGCTAATTAGTAGCCAATATCATGCTTTTTTAGTTCTTGATAGACTAGCATTTGTTATAAGTAAAAGTAGTTGATAATAACAGTCAGTTCGCGGATTGAACTACTTCTCAATATTACATCGAATAATGTTCAGGCATCTCAGAACAAATAACTGCATCATTTTGCCCCATCTTTTACACGGTATTTTTCGAAATTTGATAACAAATTAGATAACTGTAAAATATCTGATAAAAATGCTATCAGGATTCAAACTTTATTTTTTAAACTGCTGCATTGTTTTTCATCTAGTGTTACAGTTTATTATTAAAATATTCTCTTGACTTTTAGGTGACCACTAAATTTCCTCTAGAAAGTCTCTAGACAGATATTGATGTCATTTAACTCTTCGATTTCCTTCCCTTGTGATAGCATTGGAAGCAATTATTGTCTAAACCTGTAGTCTTCGTACATTGTGGTATTTTCCAGTTTTCATGACTACAGCCGGCGATCATCTGGAATCAATTAGATATGCTTGGATCGGTATAATTCAGCTAAAAGTCCCTTTAACTGAATATTCGTAAGCTTAAGAGTACATGAAGTTGTTTCGTAGAGATGGTAGCTTTTTTCACACTCAGATTATTTTCAGCATCGATCTTCCGGGAGTAGTAGCTGCAACTAAGTTTTTGAATCCATTTACATAAACCAGAGTAGCCGATTAGTACATCAAATTATACTTAAAAACAGGATGAATTTTCATCACTATCTTTCTGTGTTCCAGAAAATCACAACTGCGATTCGGTTGAAAGGATCCCTTTCAGCATGAAAAATGATGCTGTCTCAATAAAAACTGAGTGCTCAATCTGTAAAAAGAGGAATACTGCTTACACAGAACCAAATTACTTTGCATTTAAGATCAGTTGAACGACCAAACTCTAGTCTTGTTTAAGTACATCATAAACACAGAATTCATCCATAATATTAATAAACCCCTCAATACTTCTTTCTCATCCACTCTACAGCATAGACGTTGAGAGTCTCGTTGTGCATTGAATGGCTCAGTTTAAGGAGATTAAAATACACATTTAGTAGTAGGCTTACATTGTTATCTCTAAATGAATATACAGATATTGAATTAAATGTATGAGTATGTGTTGGTAAAAATGAGATATGAGGAGAAGGGAAATGAATATTGTTCAAAACAGATTGTCGTTGTACTGAAAGTTTGCATAGAGAATCAATACTTTATAAATACTAGTATCATAGAACTATCTATACTCCTAAGGAGACTGAAAGAGAAAATGTATCAACTAATGACGAAAAACTACAACACTCCAGACTCGATCATTTTATTTTTGCAAGTATTTAACAAATTATTATTATTCTCTATGAAAAATTAACACCGACATTGGAAAGTCATTACAAAATGTAAAATTTCCAGCTTTCTGTATGTTCCCAGTTGACAGAATAAAGAAGCAATGTTGTTGAGAATCTTGTTGTTTACACTTATCGGTAAAGTTGGTTTTCATTATTGACTCAAATTCGAACTAGATGTAGAAAGACATATATTAATAAGTTTTACATATGTCCCCCTGGTGGGCAACCTATGCTCCTCCACGAAGGGTAACGGGCGTAAGTAAGTAAGTAAACATATATCTTTACTATTAGAAAATTGTACTAGTTATGAAACAGTTTCATACATTTGATTTTATGTTTAAACTATTACCTCTTAGCAATTGATACGGTTTAGAAACAGTACAATATTTCAGATAAAGTTGACTTTAAAAACCACCATTCCTTTTGAATTTCTTAAAAGATTCTTTCGAAAAAAACTATTTTAGGTTCTATTCCATGGTTTTTGGTTTCTGAATTGTTTACGCAAGAAAATCGTGATGCTGCTGTCTCTATTGCTGCAGCAACCAACTGGTTATGCAATGCTATTGTAGCATTAATATTCCCACAGTTGGTTGTAAGTTGAATCAGTCTAATTTCTGTTGTTATTTATGAGTAATGATAACGCTTTGTATATGTAATCTTTTTCTATGTTTATCAGTTGTAGATTTTCTTAATTAATTCGATTTTATTATTTGTTTGTATTATATAAGTGTAGAGTAATGTAATGTTACCACATAAGATGAAATCCTACATTATGGATGTACAAATAGGATAGGGTTTGAAATAAGAATTATCAGATAGACAGTTGTGATTTCATAACCACACTGGGCATGTAAAGAAAGTTATCCGGAAACTTGTAGCATTATAAGTCTTTTTCAAAATACATGACAGAAATGTTGTCTAACGGTCGTCCGATCCCGATACTGTTATGCACTCTCTCCATACGGAAGCCTAACTTGGTAGTTGAGTGAACAGACTAAGAATGAATCAGAAGTTGTATTGGGAATCCAAGTGAAAATGCACGCAAACTTGATGATATATCAATATAGGGTTGTGTGGATTATTGAGTTTTACTGAGATCATAAACCGATCGATGTTAGATCACTATTGGAAATCTGGATGCACCGGACAGCTTATTCGTCCTTGTATAGGACTCCTTAGCAGTATACATCCATAATTCCACACGCGGGACTCAAACTCAGGACCTTTGGTTTCGCGCGAACGCTTAATCTTTCGACCACTGAGCTGACACTCACCGGTATTAATGTCTAAATTCAGTCAATCCATTATATTGCGTGACCATCTTCCATTGTTCTCGATGAGTAACTTCCTCACAACCAAAACGGTTGAACTTCACTGGTTGCGGCTTCTCACTAGAACTCTGAGAATTACCTCTCGAAGTTAGTCACTAGTAAGCACATCATGATTATCAGTATAGGGTTGTGTATATGTATACATGTGTCACTCAGATAATGTAGCCAAAGCCCAGCCAGCAATGTTGATCCATCAACGTCTCTCACCTATTATTTGGCCTTGAACTAGCATGTGCTGTGTCTGTATCTGCCTAGCCTACCATTCCTCCATTTTGGAGCTCAGCTACAAAATTTGGGGTGAGAACACATTGCATACCCTGTTGAAAAATATGTCGACACGTATGTCTATATATAGGTTTTTACAATTATAGTTTGCGTTTTTTGAAGTCTTCCATTAACTCAATGTCCAAATATTATGCAACTTTTAGTTCGAATATATATATCAATGTGGTTTGTAAAAACTTTCGTCGAAATTCGAACTAATAGTTGCATAATATTTGGGCATTAAGTCAATGAAAGGTTTTAAAAACGGAAACTATAATTGTAAAAACCTCAGCAGTTGAAGTCGAAATAACCCAAACATTCCGCCCAACAGTCTGGAAAATAATCATACATAAAAGTTATCAAATACAAATGTATGGTTCAAAAATTCTACAGCCAGCATTATTAATATGGTTGAACGATATGTTTAGCATACAGTTAATTTGTGAACCATCTATCTGGGTTCGATCATTTTAATGTATGCTTTGACACACGTATCTGCTACTTTCATAAACCATGTTTTATAGCCATAAAGTAGGATACGGCCAACTGCTGGGAAGTGTACTCATCTTTTGATTAGCATATGAACACTGCTTACCCCACAATTGACTCCAGTTGTCAAAAGCAAACGGGGATTTCTGAATTCGTGACAAGATTTCTCCAGACACCAACCGATTAAAACTGATGAGACTCCCAAGATAGGTGGAATGACCGACAGTAAACTATTTCACTTCCAATCATTAGTTTAAATGCTAACAATGACCAATTCTGAAGAATCATTTTGCATTTAGAAGGAGAAAAACCCTTTCCAAATGTGCTTGCATTGCTGTTTGAGTTTATCAAAATACTTTTGATGTTTTCAATGTTGTAATCCTTATCCAAACTTCACTTGTAACATAATTCTTATTCAAACAACGAACTAGTTTTAGTTATCGTCTTTCACAGTGTTACTGTTATGATTAGAATTCAAATATATCTTTTCAACGAGAAAATTCATGTCGTTCCGTTGATCTAGACTGATAAACTATCGCTCAATCAGATTTTTCTAAACGCTAGGACTTTATCTATCATGCTATTGCGTTCGATTATTTCATATAGTCCGGTTGTAACAATTTTGCAATTAATAGTAAAGTTCAGTCGATGTTACTTACTGGAGTCTATGTAACAACTGATTATTTTGTAGTTTTTTTGCGTACTTTAAAATCATAAGTTTTCTCTGAATATTTGATGGCCAACTGGGCTAACTTCTGTACTATTGTTCGTTGTGAAAATAGTTCACATGTCCTTACACTGTATGGTCTACTTATAGAGGGATTTCGATTTTCGTGAAATTAACAGCATTCAAATTCATCAGTCAAGTTTTAATAAAGTTTGCTATTCCCAAGGATTGGTTTATTTCTCTGAAAACATTTCAGATCACAGATTCAAAACTTTGTTTCCCACTTAAGAAAGTTTGGATGACCTAGTACAGCTTTTAGTTTCTACAATAGATGCGCTTAACATCTCATATACATATTGAGTCTCATTTTTCTATTTACCAGTAGAGCCAGTTGATTAAGAAGTTTTGATAAGTAGTCACTATATTAAAGAAAGCTAAGATAAATTCTAACTAGTTAGATGACAGCGATCACGGAATAATGTTTCGTTGTTACAAACCTAACGAGGTTACCTCTATATTTCAATTTACTTTATGCTTATTATAGATGGTTGCAGTGAGTTGAAAGCACCAAACCAGTTTAAATAACTGTTTTGGACTTAGCTTTCAGCACTCGCTCGATTATTGCCATATGAAATTTAGGTAACAACTGAATTGATTAGTGTTTGTGTGGTATATTTAGCTTTCTGGTTCTAGTTATCAAATAAAATGTCTAATTAATAAATGCACATATTCAAGTGATACTCTTTACATTAGGTACCACTGTCAGACCTTGCAAATATCGTTTAAATAAGATTTTTTTAACGAGAACTTTTTACTGAAGCATTGGATTATAAACATAGGGAATCACACTACAAGATATGAAGTTTTCGCTACAGTCGGATATCAGTTAGAGAACCACTGAAAATTAACAACTATTTGCTTCTAATTTCAAACTTTTCAACTGTCTGCAACTACAACACAATAATATAACCAGAACCCCATCACGAACCGACTAAAGTTGGAAATACGGACCACTGGATTCATAGATGTTTAAAAGTGTCACACTCACTACAAGACCAGAATGCCCCAGGTTCTAGCCCATGTAAAGTCGTTATTATACACTTCTAATGAATTACAGACTTCCACAAAGCAGTTTCTTATTATCCTTTAGTTCTTAGTAGTCCTCTAATTACTAATATTGAATAACTGTGCAGATTATCAGTTACCTGATAATTAATCTGGGCTAGAAACTAAGATCATAA